CGGAAACTCCCCCAGGGCCTTCAGGAATCCTTCCGGATCCATCCGGCTCCGGGGGCGGACCCACACAATCGGGTCCGCACCCTTACAGAGGGAGAGGTCACTTGATCATTGTGTTTTTATATGGTTTTATTGTTGTAACCAGCCTGGGAAACCATGTGGCTAATGGGATGGGCTAGAAATCAAATTATAAATAACATAACATAACAATGAGCTGGAAAGCGGATTTTCTAGAAAATTTTGATGTGAACATTTTCTGGAAGAAATACCTATGGTACTTAGGATTTTTGCCTAACAACATTTCCTGTTTGTACCATACAATATTCTGATGCTTTAAAACACGGATGAGCAATCTATGGTTCTTCAAATTTTAGTCTACAATTACCTCACCTTTGGCTATGCTGGCTAAGGCTGATTGAAGCTATAGCTCAAATCATCTGGAAGACTACAAATTACCCATCCCCACCCATGATTGTTCATTTTACTTGCATTTAGTAAATTAAAAAGAACCTCATGCTATTTTTTCCCAGTGTGCTTGAAATATGTGAGGAAAAAAATCAAGTACAGTTAATGTGATTTACGAGTTATGCAGAAATTTTCATTGGAATACTAGTAAACAATTAAGGACAAGAATATTACTTTGCTTACATGGTTTAAATTTACAGGGCGGGGGAAGGTAGTGAAAATTGCTGATATGCTAATTACTTTTAGCAACCCAACAAATGTGTATGGTATGCTGACAACTTAAGACTCTTATTACGAGTAGGAGGATGGCATATAAATGCATAAACAAACAAACCAGCCAGCCAGCCAGCCATTTCAATGGAATTCAATTCCTTTCTATGAGCTACAGTCTATGTTCTATTGGAGGTAACAGTTAATAGGAATGGACTAGGTATACTGAAGAGCCACTGAATGTGTTAAGTCATCAGAGGTATTGCCAGAGCTGGATACTCCATGTTTCACTAGATACATTTATCTATCTGATGAAGTGCTGGTGACTCCTAGGAGTATGAAAACTGGCTAACAAACTGTTGTTGCTGTACAAAGTGACCCAGGATACTTTTAGAAGTGTTATTTGATTCCATATCAGTTAACAGATTCATCCAATGGAAAAGGGAAAAGTGAAGACGAATGAGTGAGATTGTTGTTTCTAGAAGTCTGTATTCTTAAGTTCAAATTCTAATTCTGTATGTTGTGTGTGGGGGTTTTCAATACAGCTATATAAAAGCCACATAACATTCAAGTAAAAAAGTATTAACTATGACTAAGGTTATCTGCAGGCAAACCACCTTTTTGGGTATATGGAAATCCTGGAAGGTGGAATACCTGGGAGGAGACTCAAGATTACAAAGGTCGTCAATGTCACATTGCTACCGCCAGCAGAGAAGATGAGGAATTAAATCCATTATGTTACAAATGAATTTACATGAGTCTTCAGAATTGTTCAGAACTTTTTTAATTTATATTTTTGTTCTATTTGTCTTTATATATAATTTAGGGATATGCAACAAATCCTTTCCACAAAGAAAATCCACTGGATTCTCTGGTTTTGGCTTACTGGACTCCAGTCCATTTTGCAGTGGCCCAGTGTCCAAGTCCTGGAGAATACGCCCAGAGTTCATGGGGAACTCACCAGGAAGTGAGCTCCAGAGGCCATTCCTCCACACTTCCTGCTGCTGCCGGCAGCAGTGAATCGCACGAGTAGCAGAAAGAGCAGCTGTGGGAGGTTGTGCAACTGGGGCTCTGTGAGAATTTGTGACTTTCCTCTTGGCTTGGCTTGCATTGCAGGACCTGGCTAAGTACAAAAAGGAGCCTCCGGATTTTGGAGGGACAGATTCTGAAAGGGTTTGCCCGAACCCTAATATAACTGTGTAGGGGATTTCAAATGAAGAGTGATATAAAGTTAATGTTGAAAAAAAATGAACCGTTAATAATAAACAACTGCTGAGCTTTAAGCATTTCACAGGAAATCTACAGAGAGTCTCAAACCTCAAAGATGAACACATCTAACTGACATGTACACTTTTGTAGGTTATACCAATGCATCTTTCATTCAGCTATTAAGATCTCAAACTCTTGAGCAGACTCCTTTAAAACTCTACTCACAAGTATTAAAAAAAACTATTCAAACATTCAAGACTAATAATATACTTCTAAAATGGGTGGGGCAAAGACAGCTCCGTCCTCCTCATACTTTTGCAAACTTCACCCCAGAAATGGACCATGGAACAAACATAATAGAGCAAGATTATGGAACAGCAATTAAGAGTACAAAGTGTCTCCTCCCTTTTTAAAATCACATAAAAGCACATCTGTGTGCGGAGTGGGAGGCAGTGAAATATGGGAATAGCTCTTGACGATTCAATGTTTTTTAAGCACTCAATAGTTGAACAACCACACAGATAAAGAAAAGGCATTTCTGCAATAGTATTATCTTTATTCCATATCAGTTTCCTTCGGTCTGACCCAACTTCCTTCTCTATAGTAGGGGTGGGTAAAACATCCCTTCAGAGGCTTAGGCCTTCAAGTCCCTTCAGACCTATGCAACATAAGCAATGGTGATGGGTGGTGGAATGTATAGGCCAAAATATCTGGAGTGTACACACGTTGCCCATCTTCTACTCTGTAAGTTGAATTCACTCTGGACTTGAGTGATCTGTTGGTAGAGATCTACCATCACCAGCAACTTTTCCCCTAGACTTTCTCCAAATAGCTCCCATCAGGATGGATCAAACTATTGCCAGTTCATAGCACAGGTTGTAGCATCACCAGCATTCTAAGGCCATGCCAGGGCCAGTCCGTATAGAGATACATAGACTATGTTGAAGTAGATCCACCACAGATACTAGTTGTATTCATTATGTGGAAAAGTGACAGGAAATAAGCAAACAGTTTAGCCTCTTTCTGTCTTTCTTTATTTCACTGATGGAGTGTGATGAAGATAGACTAATCAAACACAATATATAATTATTATTTCATGTTCTAAAAAGAAGAATTCAGTGGGAAAGAGAAAGTGACTGAAGGAAAGTTTTATTCTATCCTCTTAAAATTAGGGCTTTGTTTCCACATTCTGAAAATATGGTTTATACCAGGAATGGGGCAGGCAGTGTGACCCTCCAGATGTTTTGGCTTACAACTCCCATTAGTCCAAAATACCTTATCTAATACTGAAGGATCATGGGAGTTGTAGGTCAAAAAAATTTTGATGGCTACAATTTACTCATCCTAGATTAGGACTTTGACAGGATTGCACTAAGTAGCCATGTACAAATGTGAATTAATATTCCAATCAGATATAAAGCTCTGATGACACTCAAATACCTGTGGCACAATAAAAATGGTGGGGAGGAGACTTACCTTGCATGAAGGTCTCTATTTTTCTAATAAGCTCGTAAGACTTTGATCGGTCCAGCAGTGTCCTAATAGCAGGAAGCGGGTCCAGAATGATAGTTTCAGGATGAGCATCAATATACTCCTGGGTGAATGAAAAGATGCGCAAATGTTACTAGCCAAAGAAAATTTGCTGGAGGTTAGATACTTGATGAGAGGAATGTTTAAACAACAAGAGACAGGATACTAACAATGCCTGAATTTCAAGTTTCCTGGCAGCTTACCCAATTTACTTTGCTATTTTGGGAGAAGCAGTTGCTTAAATAAAAGGTGTTATGATTGCCGGTTATTTCTCAGAATTGGAGAAGAATGGTCTATGGAATTTCTCACTCCCTCAAGTTTGTGTATTCAAATACTCATTAAAAGTAAACCATACACATAAAAGTGAATCATATGCATAAAAGTCTTCCTTGAGCATTACGGCTAGATCACCTCCTACGATTCCATTAGTGAGACCTTCAAGGCACTGTGTCTACTGCTACAAGGTTAAGCAGTTTAGAAGCTGATGTACTGCTACTAGTCATGATGGTCTTAGGAAACTCCTCTTGGTTCATACTATGGGACTTTAGTTGCTGGGTAAACCAGACAGAGCTACTGTTTTCATGCTACAGCTGTAGGCATCTGATTGGCTGTGGAGAGAAGCAGAATGGTGGACTAAATCAAACTTTGGCCTGATTAAGAATTCTTCTTAAAGCAACTTAGTCTGTAAAGCAGAAAGACTAAGACACCCTGAGGCACATGACTGTCAGTCAGCACTGGTTTAATAGGCTTAAACGTCTTGTGAGGGCCCACATCCCATTTGCTGAAATAGGTCTTATGACTGAAATTAAAAAAGCAGAGTGACAGGTATACTAAGCAAGATCCTAAAGCCTTATGCAGCACAGAACTTGCAGTCAATCATGCAACCTCATACTTTGGACCTGCATTTTTAAGCAAATCCACAATCTACTAAAAACAAACAATAAATCAACTGTTTCCTATATATGCTAAGGGAACAAACAAACATGAACATTAAATATACTGAGGACTGGGATCTTCACTTTCAGATTGTGCACATGTATTGCCCATCACTGATTAAGAGGCCCCAACTAATGCTATCTTGACCCCTAAATTAAGTGGGTCCTCCAGGCTTATTACTTGTTCCACTTGCCTTATCCAGCCTATTCACCAGCTCATCTGCAGTGTTGTTCATGTGCACCCACCATATTCATATATATTTCATATAAAATATTATGATCAGACTGGCCAAGGTACTGCATATATATGCCTCCAGCTTAATGTATGAACACCACACAAGCAAATGAAGACCTTTGGGCAAATAGCTCTTTGTTGGTATTCAGGTCAGACATTTCTTATCACACATTTGCAGGCCTATTGGCTTACAGAAAGAGCAATTTCCTCTGACCAAGATGTTCTGGACTACCATTTGATAGGACTTTCCTCCTCACCCTACTCCCTGCCAGGACTTATGCTAACTATTCCAGACACTTTTAAAATAAAACTAACAAAACACAAATACTAGGTAGACCTTGTGGCTCTATGCCACACCTGCTTCTGCTTCTTACATTGTACATAAGCACACAATTCACCTTAACCACAGCAGCAGATGTTACTTAGAATAGAAACAATGGCTGATAATTTCAGGGAAGCATTAGCCATTAAGTAGCCATTAACAGTTAGGGTGACTTGGCAATGGAATAGATCACTTCAGGAAGGGGTAGGATCTCCTTTGCAGGAAGCTTTTAAAGTGAGTCAGATTAGCCACTTACTGGGGCAGGGCAGGCAGGTGAGCCTGAATGGATACTACATATATTTTACACTACACAGAATCATATAGTTGGAAAGGACCTTGGAGATGATCCACTTACTGGATGACTGATGGATCAACTGATTGATTGCGAAGGCTCCTTCCAATGCTATGATCCTGTGTGATGTAGGAACAAGCACAGAAGCAGCAGCAACCAGACAGTGTCAGACACACTGATATTCTTAATGTAGAGGTCCCTAGTCATATTGGTGTTCCAAAGGAGTGCTTTTTATCAAGACCATTCCCACTTTATCCATACTTCCATGAACAGCTGGGAAGTGAAGTTGGGTTTTAATCTATCCTGTGCCTTGAATGTTTTAGGAACATCCCTTCAAAATGTGGATAAGAATTCCTTCAATAGACTCCATCCCTTAACCAGCCATGGGATAACCATTATGCTAAATGGGACACTGCCAGCAGTATTTTTCCAAGAACTTTCAAGAATGCAAAATATAATTATATGTAATCTGTTTCATCTTGGATATGTGTTTTTACCCATTTTGATAATTTATTATCTCTCCGAATCCTTTGTTTTTTTAAAAAAAATTAATAATAATTTGAATAGTATATTAAAAGACCATATCAAGTTTTTAACTTTTTAAAATAGTGTATTTTATGTTAGTCATCAAATTTAACGAATTCTTATCATTAATTACTTATTGACATTCAGTAACAGTATTTCACAATTCATCATCTCAAGAATTCTTGCTGATGCAATGACATAGGATAAGAAACCAGATATTCAAATGAAACTTGTTTGAGTGTGTAATTATTATTTTTAGTCACAAAACCAGCCTATACATAATAGGGCCTTAGAGATCAAATTGCCAACATACACTGTATCATGGAGAAAGCTAGGGAGTTCCAGAAAAACATCTACTTCTGCTTCATTGACTATGCTAAAGCCTTTGATTGTGTGGATCACAACAAATTGTGGCAATTCCTCAAAAGATGGGAGTACCAGACCATCTTATTTGTCTCTTGAGAAACCTATATGTGGGTCAAGAAGCAACAGTGAGAACTGGACATGGAACCACTGATTGGTTCAAAATTGAGAAAGGAGTTTGGCAAGGCTGTATACTGTCGCCCTGCCTATTTAACTTATATGCAGAGCACATCATGAGAAAGGCAGGGCTAGATGAATCACCAGTTGGATCTCAGATATGCAGATGATACCACTCTCATGGCAGAAAGTGAAGAGGAACTAAAGAGCCTCTTGATGCGGGTGAAGGAGGAGACCGCAAAAGTTGGCTTGAAACTCAACATTCAGAAAACTAAGATCATGGCATCTGGTCCTCTCACTTCCTGGCAAAGAGATGGGGAAGAAATGGAGGTAGTGACAGATTTTATTTTCCTGGGCTCCAAGATCACCGCAGATGGGGACTGCAGTCAAGAAATTAAAAGAAGCTTGCTCCTGGGGAGGAAAACTATGGCAAATCTAGACAGCATACTAAAAAGCAGATACATCACCCTGCCAACAAAAGTGTGTATAGTCAAGGCTATGGTTTTCCCAGTTGCAATGTATGCCTGTGAAAGCTGGACCATAAGGAAGGCTGAGCGCCAAAGGATTGAGGCCTTTGAATTGTGGTGCTGAAGAAGACTCCTGCGAGTCCCTTGGACCGCAAGGTGATGAAACTGGTCAGTCCTAGAGGAGATCAACCCTGACTGCTCTTTAGAAGGCCAGATACTGAAGTTGAAACTCAAATACTTTGGCCACCTAATGAGAAGGAAGGACTCCCTGGAGAAGAGCCTAATTCTGGGAACAACAGATGGTAAAAGAAGAAGGGGACGGCAGAGGATGAGATGGCTAGATGGAGTCACTGAAGTAGTTGGTGTAAGCTTAAGTGGACTCCGGGGGATGGTGGAGGACAGGAAGGCCTGGGGGAATGTTGTCCATGGGGTCACGATGGGTCGGACATGACTTCGTGACTAACAACAAAAACAAATAGGGCCTATGGTATGGATGGATAGATAAACAGATATCCACTTTTAGAAATCGAGAATGAGGTCATGGGTACGGGCATTGACCTTGTTTTTAATTCCTCTTATACCAGAAAAAATAAACTTCCGAGAGAAGTTCATGTCAAATTTGCTCTAAGGTCTATAAGAGACAATGTTTTGAAGGCCATACGGGAGAAGCCGTTAAAGAGAGATGATCATCAGGAGGTGACGGTCCTGAAACAGATACCATGGAGGATTAGAGAGGGATGAAAGAAATATCTATTCCTTACTACAAAACTGATCAAGAAAGAGATTATCTTTAAGTGGCTAACACCAGAAGGAATATTTTTCACATGGAACTCTGTAAGATATAAATTGGATTCAATTCTTAAAGCACAAGAGTTCGATGAAAAATTTAGAGTCATGTTGGAAGCAGAGAACCCTGTCGTCTCTAAAGAAGGAGAAAAAGGTGCCGAAGCAATGGAAATAACAGCATACCATTCTGAAGAAGGAGAAATACTGAAGGTTGATTCACAACAAGAAGTACAGACTTTGGACTCAAAGGAGAAAAAAAAAGGTAGAACTGTAGGCAAAGAATAAGCAGATAATTTTATTAAATATGGCTCTTAAAAAGGAAGGGAAAATTGAATTGTACTCCTAAAATGTTAATGGACTAAATGAACCATCTAAGAGAAGAAGGATTTTTGCTCAACTTCAAAAACGAAAGTTAGATATAATTTGTCTACAAGAAACATATATTAAGAAACAATGTGTTAAACTTCTGGAATGTTTAAAACTGGGAAAATTGTTCGTATCTTCTGCATCGCAAAAGAAAAAGAGGTTTAGCACTATATGTTAAAGAAAACTTGGACCCTAAATATATTCTTCCTGATGAGGATGGTAGGATCTTGATGGCAGAAGCGGAAGAAACTTCTTTACAGAATGTCCGGGATACAGCTAAAGCCTATGTCAGGGGACTGATAATAACCTACTCTGCAAAAATAAATAAATAAAAAAAGCAGGAGCGAGCAACATTAGTAGAAGAATTGAGGAAACAGGAACAAGAACTGCAGGAGGATCCAACAAAAAGAAATCTTAGGGTCCAAATGAATACTTTAAAGCACAAATTGAATCTCTTGAATACAAATGAACTTACTAAGCAAATGAAACTGGCTAAACAGAATTTTTTTGAAAATGCTAATAAACCGGGGAGATGGCTAGCATAGAAAGTAAAAAAAGAAAGAGAGAAGAGACTGATTTCGAAACTGAAAGACGGAGAAGGACAACTACAGGTACAAAATACACAAATTAAGAAAATAGCTGAAGATTTCTTTGCA